TTGGGCTCCTCTGAGCTTCGGTTTCTCACCCGAGCAAAAGGCACAGCTGAATCTTCCTTGCGGGGTCGGGAAAGACCCAAGCTGTGGGAAGAAGGCCCAGCCGTGGGAAGGGGTCCACACCTGGTTGGACCTCAGGGAAGCTGTGGGCCCAGCTGCAGCCTTGGGCTTTGCCCATCAGGGCCAATGTGGCCCACAGGACGCTTTGCCAAGGGGCAGGCTGGGTGTTGCTGGGCCAGGGTCTAAACAATGGCAGTGATATTTGGGGACCAGAAGGGGAGGGTTGGCTTCTCCCTGGGACCAGGAACCCCAAGCATGGGGACACTCCCTGTCTGTGCCTTTATCCATCTCAAAAAGTCACTGTGGAGTGTGGGAGACAAACAGCATCTCTGGGCTGGGGTGAGGGGGCATTCCCCTCCCAGGCCAGGAACTTCCTTGGGCAGGAGGATCCCAGAGAGCTTTTACCTCCCCCCATGCATCTGTGCTGGTCCATGGCTCCCCCATGGCTCCCCAGTCCTTGGGGTCTCCCTCCTGTTGGAAGTGCGATGGATCGGGGCTCTGTTGGCCCTTGGCTGTGTCTGATCTGCCTGGTCCCCGTCATGATGTTTCCAGTGGAAGATTTGCTGGTTTCCTTGCAGGGCTGCGGAGGGGTCAGGAGCCACCCAAGGGAAGAAAGGCCCAGGGTCTTCTGAGGTGGTTTGGTTGGCACCTGCCCTGCTGTGACATGTTCTGCTGGGGCCAGAGGGCAAACTGGGCCGAGTGGGGGTCTCTTACATGGCGCATCTCCCCCATGTTCCTGCTCTTTCTGCCTCTGCCTGTCCATTCCTCATTTAGGCCTACCATCCACAGTGTCCTTCACACCTCACAACTGCTCTCAGGCACAGGATGTGGTTGGTAGTTTACCCCCCTGCATCAGAGGGGTGACTGTGGTGCATGAGGTAGGGGCAGAGGCATGGGTGTCCGAGGTGGTTTAAAAAGTGTCCAAGCGTGGGCACTCGCTGCTAATGAAGAGAACATGACCACACCCTGGCTCTCTCCATGGCTCGCCCTGGGGATCGCCGTCAGGAGATGCCCACGCAGCCCTGTGAGGGAGCCCGGATTGGAGCCTCAGCCCAGGAGACCCTGAGCTGGAACCTGTCCAAAGCTGCTCTCAGATTCCTGACCCACGGTTGTGGTGGCAGGCACCCTCCAGAGACACTGTGGGCCAGAGCAGCCACTGCAGTCAAGTGAGTCTCACAATAATGTGAGCCGCACGAAAGTTTTGGTTTCCTAGTGCATATAAAAGTTATGTTTACAGTATGCCGTAGTCTATTAAGTGTGCAATAGCACTGTCTAAAAAAACAATGTACACACCTTAACTACAAAAACGCTTTAGTGTTGAAAATGCTAATCGTTGTCTGAGCCTTCAGTGAACCGTGACCTTTCTGCTGGGGGAGCGTCCTGCCTGGATGCTGATGAAAGCTCAGTATCTGTGAAGCGCACAGGACGAGACCTACCTGTGGTCTGGGAAAGTTCTCAGCAGTAGGTTACTAACACGGTGCCTTCGGGACGATAGTGGGACTTGGGTGGGGTTTGAGCTGTCTCAGGCTGAGAGAGAGGAGGGGATGTGGGCCTGAGCTCTTCAAAGCTCAGACAGGCAAGGACCAAGTGATGGGGGAAGCTGGAGTACATGATGGGTGGGGAATTCAGTCTTGCACTCTGGGGCCACCTCAAGGGATGGCGAATGGTGGGTCTTGAATGCCAGTTGGGCAGACTGGTCAGAGCTCTGAGTCATGAGGGACCTGGGGCACCTGAGTGGCAAAGGGTTATTGGGCACCAAGTGTGGAACCAGCTGGGAGCCGCAGAGCCCGGGCCACTAGAGCAATCTTCAGGGACTGCCCCACCCCTCCCACCTGGGAAGAGGCTCTCTGAGCAGCCAGGAGCTCAGTGTCCCCACCCTGACCCTGGTGCTATCTAGGCCTCAGGCCACACCCTGGGGAGGAAAGTGTCCAGATGCCAGCCTTTCCAAATAGCAGATGACCCCTCTAGACTGTGGGGGGTCCAAAGGCCCTGGCAGAAGGGCCCTGCTTCCTATAACAGGAGGTGAGGGGCCACAGACTGTGGCTTGGAGGACACAGAGGTGCCTGGACCATTGGGGGCCTGAGCCATGGCACGGGGAGCAGACGGAGTACAAGGGGGCACGTGAGAGTACATTTTGTGGCCTCAGTTTGAAGCACATAATGGTTGCTGAAGGTGGGAGGCACCCTTAGCCCGGAGACCCCAGTCCTGGACCCTGCTGCACCCCAGCCTCCTGCTGGTGGAGCCGTGCTGGACCCTGCCTCACCCGTTTGCTCACCGCACCTCTGCTGGTCTGTGGGACACACCCTGGTGCTACCCAGTGTGCACCAGGTCCCGGGCACAAGCTGGGGCCAGACTGAGCTGGGACCTGGAAGGGTTGGGGGTGCCTGTCCAGGGCTCATGGGAAGGGTGCGTTTGCTGCCATGTGGCAGCTGCCAAGAGAGGGGCTGAGGCTGGGGCTGGGGCTGGGGAGGGGTGGGCTCTGC